TTACAGGATATAAAGCAATATTTGTTAGATGAAAACTTCAAACCATTAATACGCATGTGCAACGAGTGTTATTGAACGCGCCAAAAATAACCAGTGCACGTGCGTATTAGAGAATTGTATTATTTGACCAAACAAATACTTAGATGTGTGATACAAAGACAGCGTTCAGTCCTCAATTAATCATATTCCAATGTATCTATCATGCACAGTACCGAACAGTAATACAAAAGCGCGGTAGTCGTCGCGCTGCGCATGTGCGAGATCTATGGGTCTCATATAAACAAAGATTGCGACTTTGACTGTTGCGCAGATCAACGAGTACGAACTGAGACGTTTCCAAGCTTTAATTAAGTAATTTTCATGTGATTGGAAAGTATCGAACCGTCGGTAATCAGTGCAAGTCGCGCCCAGGTCAAACCTCATACTTGTGATTTCCATTTGAAGAACGCATTGGATTGTGGGAAAATCATTGTTTATCAACAAAAATGTCGCACATGCGCAGCGCGACGACTACCGCGCTTAACATTCGTCTGTTTTTGTCCATACTGCATTTGAAGTCAATATTTGGTTTTCAAAAACTAGGGCTAACATAATGTGTGTGAACTATTTTATTTGAAGAATTTAAGTACTTTTGTGTCATTTGTAGCTCTAATCAACATATTCTATTAATTTGTTAATACCAATATCATTGTTTTCTGTGATATACTAACGACTGTCAAACGATATACGTATTTACGATCGTATCTGAAAATCAAAAAACAAATGATGTTATCGAGCGCGTTTGTTTCCATTTGTGTTTGCACACAAAAAAACCACTTCATATGGGTTTAACTACATATTACAAAAGATGAAATCTGTTACTGTTTTGCTTTTGTGGCGACGGAAAATCAATGATATGCGTGGCCAGGCGCTTTATTCGCGATAATCAGTATTCTGAATGTTGTAGTGATGTAATGTGAGGTTCTTTATTTCCATGAAAATCTCTGGGGATTTTTCTAACTCGAGGTTGTTAACAAAATATGAAATGAAATTACCTGTACCTACTGAGAAGACAACATACGTGAGTTGCGTGTGTCTACGTACAGCGTGCATAGTTCCCGAAGCGAGCGTACAAAGTTCTCCAAAGCATTTGGCAATTATTTTGAAGACTTGGCGAGACAAGGATTTTTGTTTCCCTCAAACCATATTATTAATGAACAAGTTCGAACCTAGTCAGTTATCACATGCTCATTGCTGATGCCACACAGCATTGTGTAACTTTATGTTTAGTTCGTTAAAACAGTGCCTCAATTTATATGACTTAAAGGGAAAATAATTGAGTATCGGTCATTTGTCTAGCTGCGATATTGCCAGGGGCAAATATGAAATCGGTGAGTTGTGTTTCATTCCGTTACATTTCCACCCTACATATATGTAAAGAACCGTAACGATGCTGACGTTACATCTTTTATACATAATTAACAATTTTATATTAACGGCATTTCCTAAGATATCTATTCAACCTTTGGTGGTATTGCTGCATGTGGAAATGGAATGTTTATTTGTTTAAATAATAATAATATTAATAATAATAATAACAACGTCTGTCCACTGCTTAATGTAATAACGACTTAATTCCCCATATCGTCATTATGAGATATTTTTATTCTTTCATTACAATAACGTTGAAAATCAAATAGCGATTGCGAGGAAAAAATATTAGTGTATGTACGTAGGAATTTACAAGCAATTCATTAATTCGGAAAAATCGAAATTTGCATTGTTAGTACTACAGTTTTGATAATATCAATATATTAATTGGTTCTGATCAAATATATTTCGAAAAATAAATATTTTACAGTATGCGAAAGCATATAACACAAAGTAATTAGTATTATTAATGAACGAGCCGTGAATCACTTGCTACAATATTTGTGTTACAGAAGAGATGATTGCGTTTCACATATAGTTCATAATTGCAGTATTGCACTGTGCGTGAAATATTCGGTGTAATTTAAATCAAATTGCAATATAGTGAGAATAGTTAATTAGTATATTAGTAATTAGTTAATTAGTATGTTAGTAATACTTAATTAGTACCACTCATGTAGAACATATGTGTGTGTGACATCTGTCTGGGCGTTGAGACTAATAACTCTGTATACTTTTGGTAACATTAGTAAAAATAGATTTAAAAAAAAGCGGACTTGTAATATGACATTAGATATTGTGATATTACTTATCATTAACAGTTCCTGGATTCCACAATATAGCAATCACGTTTTCTTTGTATATAAAGGATGGTCTCGAAACAATTCAAACCCAAAACAGTGTCAAAGAAACAGTGAATTTATTCATTCGATTTCCTCTAATCCGAGATTCCAACCTACTGACTACAATTTTAAATAAATAATGGGCATTGCGCTGGGTCGTTTAATTTCAACTACTATATTCGATCGCTTGACGTCAGCATTTAATCCGCACCGATTACACTTGTGTCATGTTTAGATTGTTGATGAATTGTAAAGTCACCATCAGTGAACAGGTTATGAATACAGCTTCTGTTTATGGTTATTTCCAGTGATACACGTTAATATGTGTCGTTAAAATGCTTGTTTTACCGAAAAATTACAACTGACTTACATCGACAACAGCATTATCCGGTCAGTGGTAATCTCCATTGTTCATTTGTAATGAATTTAATTACGTAGAAAATATATTCATTGATTGAAGAGGTTTATCAGATTCTTTTTAAATTACTTCATTTACTGCCCCATGTGGTATTTCATTTGTAGACGCTTTTAATTAGATCTGATGTTAAATAGTTAATGAAGCATTATTTGATTTTCATCTCATTTCTTTGAATAACAAATTACACTGCGATTAAATAGACTAGCGCGTTAATAACTTTCCCGTCTTGTGTGTTGTTATGTGAACGTTCGTTTGATTGTAATTATTTTCAGCACCTAGGTTAAATTAAATTAAAAAGTATAGTAATTACAAAGTGATTGGATTTTAATGCATTACGTTAGGTTGTGTCAATATCACTGACTTGGGAGTAATAATAAATGTTGTCATTAAGTTATATTTTATATTTTAATTATATAATACACTCAATAGTATTTACCTTACCAAAATAATATTCGTAAGGTGGTAGTATGAGGTTATTTAGTGATTAAATTAAGACACACTAGCCATTATTGCGCGATAACAGGGCAAAGAAGGGTGTGTGAAATAATGGACGAGAGGCAGTCGAGCCCATTATTTACGCGAATATCCCCGTCCGTGCAATAATGAATTCCTGCAGCGCCATATTATAAGGGAAGTGAGCCAGTGAGGCGCAGCTGAACACATTGTTGCGCCTTGTCGAGCAAGGAGAACGCAGCGTTTCAATATTGAGCAGCGTTTAGTAGTATAATGGTCAGTAACCTGATGGACGGTATGAATGGCATATATATTTTCTGAACTCTAATAAAATAGTCATAAAACGGATTATTCGTGTAACTCAATATAAGTTTCACTGGTATGCATCAATGTCGTGTTTGGTGGTCATGGGGGATTCGCGTAGCATGACGTCATTCATTAATGACGTTAATGAATTTTGATAAGATAATTTAATACATGTTATTGATTTACTTGTTAACATTATGTACGGAAATATACAATGTTCAAGTTTCGAGCAAACATTATGCAAATGTCTTTATCTTTTGTTTTAAATGAAATTTTCCAAGAGATAATCGGACGGATGCGCTTGATGATTTGTATATAACCAGTTATTTATTGGATTTTACTCAAAACGTGACATCGTAAAGCAACATACGAACATTATTGATGATGTGTGTTAGAACGTCTCTTCTGTTGACAATACGTGCTCCGATTTATTCAATTCTATCCACAATCGGACACCAATACTGTAACGGATCTGTTTTTAAAGTACATATATAGATTTCAGTAAAAATATATCGAGATGATACTGACATCAGTTGCTACATAGATTGATTGTAATGTCAGACTCGCATTCGCTAACTATTCCAATTAAACCGATTATGATAACAGAATCCAGTGGTGCTCACCAGCGCGGTGTTAAACTGAGCTGACTCCATGTAAACATATATCAAATTATAAAATTTAATTTGAGCTTGTCAGTGGCGTTAATTATAGTCGACAGACATATTGGGTAGAGAAAAAATAGTTTCAACGGCGAAAACATTTCCGTGTTTCCGTATAGCTCGCCATGAATTGTCTGGGTATGAGTACGAACACAGTGATTTTCCGCAAAATGAAAAGAAGTTCTCGTCGAGACAAGCAACAGAAGGATACACGCCGCAACAAAAAAACAGGAAATTAAAGAAACACGAAGAGAAATGACTAATATATTGTTGATTTCTTACGTGACCCCGGACAAGCGTCTTTTTATTCTCCCCCTGTCTTCATTCGCATAATGCATTTCTATGTGAAATTAGTACTATACACGTGCACATAAGATGGAATAGAAACATGTTTAATTATTTTATCAATAAGCATGTTGATTAGACAGTACATTACTATTGTAGAGAATTGACAAGCGAAATGTTTTGTAAAGAGATTTTAATTGAATGCTACACAGATAAGATTGGGGATTTATAAATAGCTGTGGGTCTTGTAAGGTGTTTGTAAAATCTGGCTCACGATAACTTATCTGTACGTGGCAAATAATAGCAAAGGTTTATGTCATTTAAAGATGGAGTGCCAGTGAGGTGTTGGGTGGACGTACATGTCCTTTGTTCCGTACAGAAACATTCAGCTTAGCCCCGGATGATATTAGAGAAACCAATTACGGTACTTAAAATACTTTTGTACATCTCCGTGATTTACTTTCGTATTGTATGTTTAATTCACTTAACCATATAATATGTGTATACGACAAGATGATACGAGCAAGTATAACTAATAACTTCAGACAACGTGGGCGTAGAAACACTTAATGCACTTCGCTTTGAAAAGGCGTTAAATCAGTCATTAACTTTATTATGTGTACTCACCCCTGGCGTGTTTGCTTGCATCTAATAACATCGAGCTGTAGTTTTCTTTTTCAAAACTGTATTGGTCGAAATCTTGATAGTATGGTTCCGGGTAGCCACGTACGTCGTAAAGTTCCGACCAAATTGCGTTAATTTCCAGTGCGCAGATTCTACGGTTTTGATCCATCGGCTCGTCATCTGTTAGCATGGCAACGTGTTTGAAGTGGTAATATTCTAAAATATCGGCCATGGTTGTTTTCATATGGGAATACGAACTCATCATTCGAACGAGAAAGAATTCATCTTTTCTACCGAAATGATCGGACATTGTACCAGCCGACAACATCGGGATATTCCAATATCTGGTGTACCTTGCAACGGGCGCAGCGGCGTAGTCGCATACCGGGCCTAAGAACACGTGGACGGATTGCCGCATAACGAACTCCATGGCACGAACGGGACCGATAGTCAGCGAACATTCGGAGTCGGTGTAATCGACCACCAGCTCATAGTTGGGTAAATATTGGCGTACACGCTCGCTCTGGACTGCAATGTCGATCCCGGACAAAGTCATGTCCAAATTAATCGGATACGGGTTGTACTGTATTAGAGATCCTGGCACGATGACGGCGACGTTGATCTTTTCTCGCTCGCAATCACCTTGCAAAACGAGCAACATAGTAATCAGTGAAAAGACGGTGTTTAACCAAACCATTGTAGTCAGCTTGTAAACACCTCTACCAGATATACTGCTTATATTCAGTAGTGTAACTATATATCCGATTTACAACTAGTAAAATCATATGCCAGGCACACACGTACTGACTGTGACGTTGTCGTTACTGGAAATAAACGTCACCAGAGATCGTGTGCCACCAATACCAAATAATACGCTCTCATTGTGATATCGCATCCGTTAGAGGGCGCATGTCATTGTGATTAGTTCGAAACCAAATCGCAGGCCGTCAGAGCTTTGAAACATAGCTAAATATCCAAAATCTAGTTACAAGTGCATTAAGAGTAAGATAATGTATAATGTTTAATTTTATTACTTGATACCTCATGATGATAGACACATTGGAATATGCGTAAACTAAGTAAACTTAATAAACATGCTGATTACATCACGGTACTGCTCAAACAACGAGCTCACATGCATGATAGAAACTTATTTTTCCATCAGTCGAACATTATGACGTATACTGTAGAATCAACATTGTCTCTCAATCATATTTAATGAAACCATTAATATACAGTATAATCAATATTACAAATTTGTGTGTTTTTTTGTGTGTTTTTTTTTTTTATTTTCACGAAGAAATATTATGACACAACCGTCACCGTTCATTGGTGCCAGATTTATAATTCTGTTTTTATTCATTTATTTATATATGTATATTGAATTTATTATTTGTTTGATTTATTATTCATATCGGTAGATAACACTTCTTTGAAATGTACACGTTCAGTTGATTAATTTGAATTAATATGTATGTTAGCACAGTACTAAATAAACGCATTGTGAGAGAACAGCGACAATAAGATATGGTAATACTTTATGAGCGAAGGATAGAAATCGAACATGGTGATATGAAATCTACATTTTCATACAAAAGGAGTCTTTTTATGCACAAAATTGGTAGATCTTTCACGCGTTCAGTCACTCATTGTTGTTTACGTTTATAGTGTAGGCTATGAAATCAACTATACTCTACACGAATCAAGGTTAAGGTCGCATTGTGATAATAGCAAGCTTAAGATAATCCACATGTTTTCGTTGGAGTTTAAGCCATGTAAACTCTGTCTCTTCCATTGATCCGTTAAGCAATAGGTTTGGGGAAACTCTCTTGACCCCGTTTTAAAAAATATTTACGAGTGAGAAAACATAACATTTCCACAAGTTATCTGTTTTCCATTACCTGTATATATCACTCTATAAAATAGATGTTGTGTACGTATTTTTTCATTAAATACATTGATCTAAAAAAATGCAGATGACAATAATGGCGTACGATCAATTGAAAAAAAAAGATATTTATTCACTTTCATTTTCAGAAGCTTTTGAAACTGTCAGTGTTGTTGTGCAAGCCATACCAATATTTTATGTCTTCACATTTCAAAATCGCGTTGGACGCATTGATATAAGCGTTACACACGGTACATTCCGCACTGCATTGTGAAATGTAAATTAAATAAATCAAACTCCCCCACGTTTGTTCAAATTGCCGTAAAGATGTATTTATGGATGTCAACCGAGCACCGTTAAGTACTTTAAAGAATGAACTATAACGTTTTTATTCATGTCAGAGGCGTGAATAATCATGACCCGTGCTACGCAAATTTCGCTAACTGAACTTGAATTCAACTGAAATAAGTACCCCTTGACGTACAGGTAACTGCATATGTCAAGTCGAATTCAATCAATTGTCTTGACTGTTGTTAGAAAATGGAAGCCAATTGTGAATTTAAAGACTCATTTTGCGTGGATGGTAATCAAATATAACACACCAATCGGGAAAACACTTTATTTCGTTTCGCTGTGAAATGTCGGAAATGTCAAGTGCAAACATGTAAACATTTTGTGTAATTATATTTTAGTTTAAAGCCAAAATGTTCTTTTTGCCATCCTTGCTCATATTTATAATGTTGATAAAACATCGCAAAAGTGAATTCGGTCGTGAACCGTGATAAAACACTTCGTAGACACATATACATATATTAAAAATACATAGAGTTCAATCATATTGCAGTACATTGTACTGTCGTTTAAAACAAATATATTACATTAATAATAGTTAGAAAATGTTCGTAAACGTATTTGTTATATTTAATTACTGCCGACAATTTAGTTATTATAACGCGTTTTTTATGACGAAATATTATCTCAAATTACCCGCTGTTATTCAAAAATCAGGGTACTAAATAGTGAGTGAAAACAATTCGTTTTTTTACTTTGAGATCTATGACAGTTTTCCCCCCCAAAAAAACATCTTTCCCAAAATTCAATACTGTGAAACAAAAAAGAATGTTGTTTCAGGTTACCATGGAAACGTACGTCCATGATTGCACATAATAAACCAATGAACATTTTCATGCTAATCATGACCAACTCTCTCAAATTTACATAAGTGAAAACGTTAAAATCTTACTATATCGCGATGTTAAATTATTGCATCCCTTTACTGACGCTCTTACTGGCGACGGCAATTGACCTTTAGAATTAATTATCCAAACGTCTGAATATTTGTAAACATTATGCATACATAAACTAATTATAACCGTGCATCAACCAATCACGATTGAGGTAATTGAAAGAATAATACACCGGAATAATTTAATAAACTCTCACTGAATATAAATGAATATAGTAACGTGTTTTAATATATTTATACACCCACTTGCTGGGATGATTTTAGTTGTCACGTATCTAGGTAAATTTATTTTATTTATTAGTCTGAGCAAAACATGTTAGAGACACAGTATACTCCCATACGTGGATATGTCCTCACCTCCAAGTTTGTGTTTTGTCTAAAAATGTTATCTGCATTATCCGCAAACAAAAAAATACCCCATTTGAACAGCGTTTCAACTAAAAAAAAAATAATAAAGAAATAAAAATAAAAAGCAGCTCATTATACACTAATATTCTGTATGACCGTCGGATGTTCCAAAGAATATAAGTCCCCTCAACCGTTCAATATTCATGGGTAAATCCAGCTTTTTTTTCATTTTTAGTTTCAAGAGCATCCAGGGCAAATGCGCATTTACGATTGTAGAGCTACAGATTAAGTATTAAGTAGTGAAATCGCACCTTTTTTCGTGGATCGTTAAATTCACTCATTTGACCACTTCTCTGATACGTGTCAAAGATTGTATACATACATGACAAAGGTAACGAATTAGTCATTCTGACCCTACAGATATAAACGCAGTCAAGAATGTCCGTTTCAGTAGTTGTAAAATTTAGCATATTCTAATCGATTTCCATTGCAGGTGTTAATTCATCCACTAATCCAAGTAATTTATTTTATTTACTTATTTTGGTTAAGCAGGCCATCGATCGAAATAAACTGAAGAAACTAATTGGTTTGTTGGAATAATTTCTCGGGCGTTGACATTCAATATTAAGTTATGCATATATAATGACAACTAAATTTAATGAAGTAAATGTATATCAACTCTATGCTGTTGAAATCCTTGTTTGTGTGAAACTCACATCTTTCAGAAAGTAGTTTGATCGCGGGTTGGGTTTACATATATAGCAGTGACAATATTTTGTGTCAGTAGCCAATAGTATGTAAACTATTTTGGGGTTAAATCTGTTTTTTAGATAAACGGTAAAATGTCATTTTATAAGAGGTTACCATCGAGTGCTCACAATAAAACACATTTCCAAGAATATTGTTTATTTTTTAATACTTTCAGACATCAAAAAGTAGCACAATTATATATATTTCAATATTTCATATATTTTATTGAGATAATATTTTTGAAATATATTTCATTTTCCCCATCCTTGGAAACATGATATATTAAATATTAAATATGTACAAATAAAGACAATGACAATATTTTACTTGTGTGTAGTCTTCTAAAGTGATGTACCAAAATAATTTATTAATAGTCGAGAAAAACTCTTGTTTGTGTTTTGACCTTTTATTATAAGTACTATTGTGATCACCATACACGCTTCTAAATCTTTTTTACCATCATAATAATACTCACATATGTTCTGATTATTTATTTGTTTTCTAGGAATTATGTATGACTATATAGTGTAATGTTTTTGATAGTCGTTTTTGTTTCTTCTTGTGAATTGTCTTGTCAAAAGAATATTGAAATTGTACAACAATTTAATTTCGAATTATTGTCAACTAATGTATTGTAAATAAATGCATTGATATACAATTGTTTTGCCATTTTACGAGCCCGTGGCAGCGACTTATATTTCCATATAGTCAGGAGAACGTTTGACATCCCCATGATTTCAGGACTACGGTTTTTGGTGTGGCTTCATTGCTAATGATAATGTTGTCATACAGTCTGGTGGAAAGCTGTCTCAATTTTAGGACACAGATTTAAGTATGAAGCAATAGAAGCAGATTATGTAGTCTCCCTAATCTCTTACGCCCAGCTGGATATATCACTGGAATAAAATCACTAATTTTAAGATAGATGATCATTCACATATCCAAATGTGAACATTACAAAAATGGATTACATTGCATCTTTTGTTTGTAACTAATTTCTATAAAAAAATTAGCTTCATACAAATGAAGAAACAAATCGGACCGCAAGAAGTTTCGATACTTGTATATCTTCCAATCACAACTAATATGTAAATATGTCATCTTCAGTGTAGAAAAGTTTCACAACAATCTTGTTCTTAACACAGTAGATAGATCCGTAACCAATCATATTTATTTGCAAAAACTAAAACATTTTTTTTAGTAAAACATTCATGAAAGATGATTAACAAAGATTGAATGTGTCAAAATGGTGTCGCAATTATCTCAATGAACCAATTTTGATGGCAAAACAATCTCTACATTATGAAAATCGTAAATATTATGAAAATTTCACTCGACCTGTTTCGACTGATAATTATAGAATATTCTACAATAATCGATAATGAACATCGCACTCTGTGGTGTGAGTATATATTTCTTATAAGCATCACCAAGTAGAGTGGGCGCCCTCAACATTTAAAGTGACACAAAATTTGTTTTTGTGCCGTTGATAGATGGCAGTCTTTCAAAAAATAATATGTATGGTTGTTCAAAGCGGTATTTTATGGTGAGTCACACATTTTACAATTTTCATCAACGTGGCAGTCAGATGCGTAACTACTTACAAAATTGGCTACCAAACTCTAACACCTAACATTATATCCACGAATATTAGTTTCTTTTATGAAACTTTCGAAATGATTAGAATTTCAGCACTCTGTTAACAATATACCTCCACATACTCACGTACGAACACGTGTGTTCTATAAATACAGCCACGCAACATCAATGTTTGATATACCTTCAAGACTTTGGTTGTCGTTGGTAAATTGTATACAATTATAATTAAGTGTGCTTAGAACAAATTCATATAAAGCATGTTTTATTGGCACATATTTACCTGCATTCCATCGTAGAGGTAATACTTGAGTTTGAAATAACCAAATTAATAAATGACAATACCAAACTATTAATGACACTCTGAACATTGTCTAATAAGCGATTGTCATTATTGCCTCACAATAAAATCTCCGTGTTAGCATCTCAAACATGCTAGGGAACAACTATTGAACATTACAACGTGTCAGAAATTATGATCATTATATAATTATAAAAAATTACATTCATTACACAGATTGCGTAATTCTCCAATATGATATAATCTCCCTAAATCGGCATCATTCATTACTACATCAAAATGTGTGTTTCACCTCCAACAATATGTCTATTTAATGGGTATTTTCAAAATAATAATGTAAATTTTCTCCATTTGTGATGTGATATTAGATTGCAGATCCAACTTTATGTGAGTCGTTCAATCACGCACACCTACACATTGCCCCGGGTAATGTATCAGGGAACTAAGAAAGAACATTCTTCCCTCAGTGCATATTTCATGTAAATTGTTAAATGAAATGTCTGCTTTACATTTGTTTCTATTCAATTGTTTGATCCAAAAATATCGTATGGGTCGTTTAAGGTTTAGATGTTTTTGATTGGTAATGATAGAGAATTCTTTCCTAATTTTTAAAGTCTCTCAGATCGACCTTGTTTTATTGCGTGGTCGTCAATAATTACGGAATTATGTAATGATAAAATCGCAATTGTTGTCAACTAATAGTGTTCATTTGCCCAGATTCTTGGTGAATATCCCACCTCCGTATTACCATACCATACGGTACCATAACATTATATAATTGCTCTGATATGTAAATATTTCACTGCATATTTATCCGATATTGTCTCCAGGCATGCGTATACAAATTCAGCACAAAACAATTTAGAGGATGCTTTGGTTGAGCTAGTCACAGTAAAATGGTGTCTGTGTTTAGCTGTGTTGTCAAATTCTACTGTGAAGCGCCACCAGTGTTCATTCATTACAATGTTCCGACATAGAGATACAATTACATAGTTCACAACAAATCTATTGCGTGAAACACGGTGCGACTAAAATAACAAAACATTATTAATCTCCCTGCGTTTTGACAAATAAATTATTCAGTATTTACAAACTGCATGAATTAAAATATATTCACATTTTGACATTATCCAGCTACTTATTCTATAACATGGCACTGCACTTTAGATTGTTTGGCTTTTCTGGTAAAACTACTAACTCTATTTCCCCCAGATTGTTGAGAATGCTTTCCTCTAGGTAATCCACTGAATAAATATTTCTACATTATGAATTTTAACTCCAGGTCCTTGACTGGGATTTTTGGAATATTCTACTAATTTTTGTCAATCATAAACGTTGCAGTAGTAAGTATGTCTTATTAATATCGAGTAGAGTGGGCGCCCTCAACATTAGATTGAAACAACATTTGTCCTTGTCCTGTTGAGAGATATAAGTATTTCAAAAAAAAATGTATGTATAGTCTTCAAAGCGGTACTTGGAGGCCACAATTGTTGTTACATTTTACATCTAAGTGATTCTTCATGACCATTATCAGGTGTACAATTTAAAATATTTACGGGGTGATTACAAATAATTTGGTGAATTATTTGCATATTAATGATGAAGTGCCAGGAACATGAATCTTTTTTTTTTTTTAATATTGAGTATTTGATGCAGTGGCGACGTCGGGGGTTGACATAAATATAATTTAAAGAATTTTCTTTTACTAAAAGGCACGCACCTATACCTTTTTTGTCTTACCTATTTATCCGCGCTCAGTCCATACTTAATGATTTGGAACACCCAAATTATTTTTCGCGCCGATATCAAACTTTGAAAGACACTTCGAAGATTGTCTCACTGGCGATTGCGATCCTTATCTAGCTACACGTGCGCTGCAGATACCGTCATAATTGAACTGAACAATGATCGAACATCCCAACATGTCAGTGATTATGAACTTTTCATTATTATTGCATTATTAAACTGATAGAGTGATTCACTAATGGGATGTATTCTCGCTAAAATGCCATCCTTCATTAATATATATCAGAATATGTCGTTATTATGATATTTGATTATCTTTTTCTGTCAGAATATACGTAATTTGTCAATGACATCTTCATTATATCAATACCATTTGTGATAACATTCTATGTATCATTTCTTTATTAAATCGCTCAATCACGCGCACCTACACGTTCCCCTGGGTATTGTATCGGGGAACTAAGAAAGGACATTTTTTACTCGGTGAATATTTCATGTAAATTGTTAAATAAAATGTGTGTTTTATTTTATTTTAATTTAATTCATTGTGTGAGCCAACGATAACATATGGAGTCGCTTAAAAGATGAATGTGTTTGCTTGTTAAAGATTTCGCATTAATATCATTGACATCGGAACACGACACTGCACATGTTTTCCGTCGATGGAGCGACACCAGCGTTCAATATATTGCCTAGGTCTGGAGCTACACATTTCAGAACAATACAGACTACTCAATGAACCACAATGAGACTGAAATAACAAAACATTTTTAATATTACCGTTTTTTTTTTTTTTTTTTTTTTTTTTGTCAATTCGAGCACTCTATATTTACAAATCAAATTAAAATATATATCAACATTTTGACAATACCTAATCGATCATGTCTATATTATGATACAAATTATCGATTGGCACTGTACTTTAATCTGCTTGGTTATTCTAGTGAAACTATTCTTGAATAACCGCTCACTATTTCGACAGTCAAACAACTGAATAAATAATAAGTGAACTGTAATAGTTAAATAATTGTATTTAAATTATTTTGATATCATCAGCATTTCACTTTTAGTAGGTGTTATTATAACACACGAAAGCTTGTAATAAGAAACAAATTAGGCTTATAGTATATATTGTACTAAGATGGAATGCAGCGGGCGTTATTTTATTGAAAAAAAGTAAATCGACACGTTCACCTGTATGCTCGTGGAATTAATATCGAATTTTAGATTCAAAGTATCAAAAATAACATCATTAGAGTGCATACTACAACAAATTAGGCTTAGTAGTTTTGTCAAGAATAACTCAAATAGGATTGGAAAAGCAGGCTTCGTAAAATAAAACAATATACGTATGTAATAAAATGGAAAGAAACGACTAGTGGATGGCATGGGTAAAAGTGAAATGAATTATAACGCGTGGTCACTTTTAAGCCACGTGCGCAAGAGGTTCCGCAATATCATGACACGGCGACAATACCAAGTGAAATGTGGCCGTATATCGTTGTCCGTAGTCAAAGGTGGCCTCGTCATCACGTCACATCTCGCATCACAACAATTCCATCAGATTTGCACTCCGAAAATCAAAAACAGAAATGGTATACATTCCACGTTTCACGTTGCTCTTGATAATAATTTCAAAATCGATCAGCCATTTATATGTAAATATTAGATTCCTATAGGATGGGGGTTTGTTCTCGAGATGTCTCATCGTCAGACTTACTACTGAGGTCTGTGACGTCAATAAGCCTATTACGCATAAACAAAGTTCCTTCCACCCTTGACCGAGTTAGGTGGCCCGAATCCGTTAGATTTGTGCGTCCCCTTAGGTTCTATCGGATCCTCACCCTCCAACCAATATGTCAGCTGCTTGCCCTTGCCCTGTGTACGAAGAATTTACAAAGACAGGTATGAGTTTATATAAAACAAAAACAAAAAAACAACAAGTAATGAGCTCCTTCAGATACCACGCATACCCACTCAATATGTTATTATTACAAAATGTTGAAGGTGATTTCTCGCTAAATCATGGGCCGACAAAAGGGATCCCACTTTGTAGAAGTCGATATTTGCAAGACAGAAAAGCGTACGCCATATTGATGTATGTAGCAAATCGTTATAATGGTTTGTTACATTCGTGACGCATCTCTCACTTGATTGTTCCCAGACTGTAATTATTATCGAGCATTGTTAATAAGGGACACTTCCGAAATCGACATATCGGCACAACTGTAGTTATGCTTTTAATTACTTATCTACGTATCTACGGTAAATAAAACTGAAGCAAGACGTGTCGCGTATCGTACAACGCCCCCTCTAGGCAATTAATAACTTGAAGATACGTTTCAAACATGGAGTTTGATTGGCGTCCGTGAAAACGATATCATGGAAATCGGCTCAAGTCTGCCAATTGAAATTTTACCCCAACCGCCCTCACACCCCTCTTCCAAATGTTGTCATGTGATGTTCTCAGGTGAAGCAACCAGTTGTGGATTGGTCAGGCTCGTTTTATAATGCCCCTCCATTGATTTGCGACATTATTTTTCAGCGTTATTACGTACCTTCATTTCCACTTCGCCTCGACATTTGAGCTGAAATGTTCCGAACGTTTCAAGGATTGCATTAGTTTCTTTGCTGACGTGGATTTTGAGCGCTGGAGAGAGGAACAAGTGAAAATATTACATACAATTTATATTTTTTAACTCGGTAGTAAAACGAACCTCGCTACAAAAAAGAAACATTCCACGGCTCTACGGCTGACAGCCATGGCCACTAAGAAAAATAGTTATGTTCTACATAATCAATTATTGCTTTCAATTCTCAAATTGACCAACAAGTTAAATTTTAGATTAAATTTACATTCAATATGGAATTTTGATTGGGTTGTTCTAAATTGCATTAAAAATTCAAGAATGTTTCAGTGAGGAATAGGGTTAAGAGTCATATGACCGTCTTGCAAATTGAAATACTTACGTAATCCGTTCGATTCCATCCTGGAAGCTGTGTTCACCGTGTCACCAAAAAGACAGTATCGGGGCATCTTAAGACCTACAACACCAGCGCATACCATACCTGCCATGACAGTAGACTGCTATTAACAACTTTTTTTTTTTTTATTTTTTGTAATTTTATTTGTTTCAAATAGACTAATTGACGTTTTAAATGTTAGAAAATAATTTGTGTCAGAACGTCTTAAAATTGTGTTTTGTTTTGCATCGTTCTGAATTAACTGCGAACGAGCTTGCTAGTCGCTGACGTAATATACAAGTGAGTGAGTTAATGGGTGGGACATCTAAGACGAACACATGGTGCATAGCGTTCGCTTTTACATCCAACACATAGCATAATACTGACGAGGAGCCAATCTGACGAGCATTTCAACTAACCTGAATGTACTCCTATGCGTAATTTTAACTTCTCGCCAGGTTTGTGTCTTATTTTGAATGTTGTAACAGCTACGAGTAAAGCTAGTGCCATTCTGCCGATCTCTCTGGCGTGATAGTCGCCGTTACGAATGGGTAGACCTGACACCACCATGTACGCATCGCCGATGGTTTCCACCTGCAATGTGCAAAATTGTTAAAAAAGCGTCGCTTTGTTACCATTGCCCTACCCCCTTAAGCTGCGCTTTGCCATGTACAATGTAAATGTTAGTATGATACAGTTCAATCTAGGTGTGTATGTTTATACGTATGAGGTAGTTGGCTTGTGAAAGTCCAGCTCGTCACTGTAAGTCTGCGCTCCTTACACGCTAGTTAGGGCCGTCTTATTTAGGGCGGTTTTTGTGGCGCGTTGAGCTGCGCGTCTGCTTATATTGACGAGATGTTTTGTCGTGGTCTTGGATTCAAATCCCGTGTCTGTGTTTATTAAGTTCGTATTACGCCTTATAATTTTAATAGTACTTTGGACAAAAACAGTTATAATTTGACATACCTTGTAAACGTGGAAATTATCAATAATTGCATCAAAACACGTGTAAAGGTCATTAAGTAAAGCGATGACCTGGAACAAAAAGGTATATGAACAAACACATCATTATTCAATTGAAACCATTGTCGTTTATATACTGCTTTGTTCTTATTCGTTTTCGTGGACATTGTTTTAATTTAATTTAACTTTTTTTATTTTATTTTTTGACAGATATATATAACATTTGTTAACTTTGGATGAAATGACGGTCGAGATCTCACCGTAAGCGCGAAAGCCGCACTATTCCATCTGACTTGTAAAACCACTGTTTTTGATACAATTTGATACAAGCTAAGAGGTCGTCAAAAGACACGCAAAATCAAAACATGCGGCTCTGTCGCTCTCGGTGAGATATCGGCGGCCATTTTCCCCGATACTCTATTTGAATCTTTCTTCCTGAAATGGACATTGTATAGTTCGATGATGCAAACGAAAGTGGAATTACGCATACGTACCTCCATGGGAGTACTGGAAGCGGAAAGGGCTGTAAATCCAACGATATCGCTGAAGAATATAGTAACGCTGTCGAATGCCTCCGCTTGTACGGCTTCGCCTCGTTTCAGCTTATCAGCAACGGGTCTAGGGAATTAATCATAGATATTTTGATGGGTACCTTAGTAATAACGATACAATGTTCTTTATTGGATTGCATCACCATGGTGCATAAAAAAGGTCAATAAAACAATCTGATTTAACAAATAAACCTACTTTGGCAAGACTTGATACAATAACTCTTCCGCTCTTCTCTTCTCTTCGTAGAAAGCTTCGGTTCTCTCCTCCACTAAGCTTTCAAGATTATTTGCATATTGTTCCATACGTTGTAGTAAATTGTCCAGAATGTTGCCAGTGGCACTTCGACTGTTACGTAACAAGGATAAAAAACTGATTAGCCTAGATATGTAAATGTAATCGTTAGAAAAAATTACCCGTGTATGTATAAGGTGTGTATGTGTGTGTAAGACGCAGACACTCCACAATCTACTTACTTATTTAGCTTCCTCATCGTTGTTCTGAGGGAACTGAAGTCTGGTCTCTCAGCCGGGTCCTGTGCCCAGCATTTCTCCATCACTGGATAAAGTTCTTCCGGACACGTGGCTTTATCTACACTTGGTCTGAAATACGGTTTGTTACTTGCTCTGACCTTCTGTACAATTTCTGTAAAAAATTGTAAAAAATGTAATGTGGAAGATGTATTAACATTATTGTTTCGAAATACAAATGAGCTTTCAGAACACCAAATACGAGAAATATTTTGCTGATATTTCAAAATTTTTATATTGTTGTCAAATAAACTTTAATCAAACAGGGAGGCATTCATGATGATAGTAAACCTAATGTAAAATCTACTGTATGGCAAAATGTTATCCATCTGACCGCGGTAACTTAAAATGGAAAATATATTTGAAAGTTTCTCGTGATTGTACCAATGCTGGAGACTTTACAGCTTTACATATGTGACAGTCGTCACGCAGCGCGCCATAGTCGTAATGTTGCGCGTCGCACAGATATTAAGCAGCGCGCCACTGGCTTCACGCGGCGCTCGTTCAAATATCAAGTTAATAAACAATGTAAACTACAAACGCTGTGCATGGCGCTTGGGTACTCCATCAAGCAGGACGCGACGTGATGACTATAGTGATTTTGTCAAGTGATCGCCTAAGGATGAAATGAGCCGAGACATTCAATTTGGCGATTGTGTTTACCTTTTGGTGATAGATCCATGTGAGATACGTAGAATGGACCGCATCGATGAACCACTTCTTGTAATATAATTCCAAAACTATAAACATCTCCTTTCTGCGTTCCACCAAGTGGCGCCTCCGTCATTCGGAGTAACTCCGGTGCCGTCCACAGCAATCCTGCAATAACAATATTGCAAAATGTTTACCTTAACACATATATGTATACATGCATTTCAAAAATATAGTTCCTTCTAAGAATAAGAAAAACTACTCACGCTGGTAATACTGGTGAGTTTCAAATTCTAGATCCTTGTCTTCGTCTCCAAGTTTAAACTGGTTCATTCCGAAATCGGTAACTTTTAACACAAACCTACTGTCAACAACACAGTTGGTTGATTTCAGGTTGCCATGGGAATTGATGACGCTACTGTGTATGTAATGCATGCCTTTAACAATGTCGTAGGCAAGTGAGTATCGGAACATCCAGTCCAGTTTGATGGAGTCATTTTCCAGAATGTCCTAAGCAAGTGAAAAGAGAAAACTGGGATTACATTTAATAGGATAAGCGCGAAAGAAACAATTCGAGATTACGATATTTTTATTATTATTATATTTTTATTATTTCAATCAAGTATACTGTTGTTTAACAATATGTAGAATAAAATTTATATTTGCGATTATTTTTTACGACATTATTTTTATTAGATCAATAAATTATAATGTTCTGTAAAATGAAATCTATTATTGCGATTTACCGAAACGTCAACCATATTTTTATAGGGCATATATTTGTATTACGGATGTAGCGGTTTTTTTTACGTTGTGGTGTTTACATTAGTGGTGACATAACGCGGTCGGTATTGATAAGCCTACTTAGAGTGTAAAGTGGGAGGGTCGTCTCTTGCGCAAGCGCGGGAATTGAGTCCCAAGCGACGATAACAACACGAGCTAAAAACGCAAAGGCTCATGGATAGACGCTTGTTTGTGAACAATGACTCGCTATGGCCATCTGACGCATGCGCAGGTGGCGACTCCCCTGCTTTAAAGAAATTTGGTCTTCAGCAGTTGGACGGAGCGAAGCAGATTAGGTCACACTTATTTCTTAATGAATTCTGGCCAGCTTAAAAGTCGTCCATTGACTAGCTTTATGGACAGAAGTCGGAATCACTTTGATTGGTTGGCTAGTTCAAGTCATGGCGCACCAAGCCAGAAGAGGCCAGTAACTAGCAGTGGGTCCAGCATTATGATTGGTCCATAAATTTCTCGTTGCTTGTTTAATTTGCCTATATCTGACAATTCATGTTGTTGTCTGTAAATCTGGCAACCGCTATATTGGCAAATACTAAAACAAAAATTTCCCGACTGTTTTTTTTTTTTCGGGAACTATTGTTTTCGACGTCCGACATTTTGGTCACAGCGCTTCTAAGAATTGAACGTATCTTGTCACCGATCATTTTTGTTTGTAGTCCCGTCGTTGCAACTTTTGAAAGGGCGGTGCTTGGATACATAGATAATAGGAAATTGTCTTCACGAATAAGTTTTCTCCCACCACACGTATCTATGGAATATAATTTGACAGCTACTTGGATTCAAGAGAGGCTGACTTCTAAGGAATAGTATAACTCACCTGCAGACTGCCTTTAGGACAGTACTCCGTGATGACGCAGATGTTCGGTGGGTCTATGCAGGCACCTATGAAACGAGTCACGTGGTCATGTTGTATATCCCTCATCTGAAAAAGATGAGTGAACAATACGACGTTATTCAATCGAATACAAATTCTCCTTTCATAAAGTCACGCGCTCTAAGAAATGACGAATTGCTTAGATGATGTCAAAATGACGTAGATGGACGATATGTTCAAACTACGGTTGGATGTGTATTTGTTTGATATCAAATATAGCAAATCGCTTAAGAAACAGCATTTGTTATCAACGAGCAACAACAGCTTGACGATTTGAACGGTGTTCCTTGCCTGCTCTTACGTCATAGAAATGTTCGCCGCTTGAGGGCGCGACTAATAGCAATGATGCATTAGCTAAACTGCCTTTAACATTGCAATGCATTACGCAAATTACAATAATCACGTAGGACTGACCCTAAAAAGATCGCTGAGTGTATCGTGAAAAGCCCATGGCAAAATAGGGCACAGTTGACTGGTTCACAAACCCAAGAGCTCCACTTTACACTGACAGACGCGCAAAACAAAAAAAGCTAAAAGCTTAAAGACCAAAAGTTACGGAGACCCTCGTTTGTTGGTAAGCCGAGTACGCCTCTGGCGACAACACTTAAGGCATTCCTTTTTGACATTTCTTTCACTGCGGATTAGTGGAATTGATAATGCCGGTAGTGGAAATTAGTTGTTTTAGGGATCGGAATCAAGAGCTAATTGACATCTGTTGATGTTTTACAGACAGTAGCTTTAAATAGACCAAGCTGACTACCGTGATAGATCGTATTCGCAGCTGGCAATGAAACTCCATAGCATAACATAGGAAACGGGAAACTGAGGATTTGAAAGTCACCTCCGGTACTATTCACATTGACTGATTACTCAAGCAAAGTATTACCCAAATTGAACCGTTAATCCGTGAAATGGAAAATCTGGTGACAACTAGTCTACGATAATACAAATCGGCGCCGTATTTAGAGCCATTTCACATTTAAGTTGGATGTCAGAAACCACGGCATTTAATAAAGTTCACCAGAATGCACGTGTTGGTGCACGCGTTAGGTTCACAGCACCATGTTGGATGTAAAAACATTTGTCGTACACGCGCTTCAAAATTGCTGCATTCTGTGCTGCGTGTTCGTCAACTACAAAACGCTTGGGCTTAGAAAGTGCCGCCAACAAAATAAGACACGTCTGTTAACAGCAAAACACACAGACGGTATTGTTTATTACGCATCATGAGCAAAACGCGTCTCCCGAGTCGCAGCGCAGCGCGCAGGCAACAAACACGTTATTCTGTCCACCGTTGTATATTATCACGACACTGCTGGCGTCCAGGGCATTCCACTCGTTGACATCACTGATTTCCCCCTTAACGACATTGTCCGATAGCATATTATCGTGTCTGGCAGTAATACATGTTTTCATATTCATGGCAAATATCCCTGTGGATTTATTTCGCCGCCGGGCATAGCAGACAAGCGATAGTGGCCGAGTTAATTATACCCGTGTCTCATCGCCTACAGCAGGCGCGTCGCGTAATAACACCGATCTTTAAAAAAACAAGTGGTGTTTCATATCCATGTAAAATTCTCGTGTCAAGCGAAACCAGAGAATTAAAAACAGTAGCACTTATGAAATTCAATAATATTCTCTCGTAATTGGAGCACCTGTTAAATTCACGTCGTAGAGATCACTTGAGATCACCGCATGAATTCCCAGTATAAGCGCCGATAGCACGCTACATTTAGAGGCCATCTGACTTGTGATAACGAAAAGCCCATTTTGCAAAGGCTGTTTTTAGACGTCAGAATTGCAACAATGCATTCTACATAGTACATACACCAACTATTTTGTAAATAGTTAACTAATGGCAACAGTGATTAACAGTATTTTAGTACGTTTAAAATACTTTTTTAATTTATATTTTTCATAAAAACAATAGGTGGATATAATCTATCGTAAAATCAAAAAGTTATAGGCAGAAAAACAATAATGTAATGAGTGCGTATGTACCTGTACGTACGTACAGACAAATCCAAAACGCATGCGCACTGGTGTTTTCATTAATAGTTCTATGTTTGCTGCTGAAACAACGCTTTTGTTTTACGATAAGAATATCATACAGTTTTCAACAAGACGCCATACTGTATCAAACAAAATTATTCAAAATTACGCCAAACTTATTTCCCTCTTTACCAGCTACTACAAGCATCACATTATTCGTATTGCACGTTATTACTGTGACCAGTTAACTTCTCAGTGAAGTTTGATAATATTATTATCACCGTTCGTTGGCGAAGAAATCACTGAACGTAAAATTCTCACCAATTAGTTGGCGAGCTTTCTAATTCATTGTGTGGAACTCAGTGGTGCGGTGTTTAAATTATCTAAGTACATTCCCACTATAAGTACCACGAAACAAACGTTTAAGTGGAAATCTAGTCAGGTACTTCGGTTCGTGCCAAGATGAGAATTTCTTCCACAATGGAATAGTTTAATAATAATATCAGGTCGCAGTAACTGATCATGACGAGGCAGGAAGTGACACTTCATCGCTCCTGTCTTCATTCATGTGACATTCAACAATTGCGAAGGAGCATGCGCAGATCGTACTCACGTGTTTGAATTCCTTCTGAATATTTCTTGTTATCTCTATCCTCCTTTTGTTGATTCTTTTGATGGCAACCACACTGTTCTGTGGAAATATGTCAAGAACGGCTTTAAGTAGTTATTACAATTGTTTTATTTTAGCGGCAGTCGAAAGCTAGCATAGCTTTCACCTGAGATACGGAAAAAGCACATCTATGGCGTACGCGATATGTTAGCAGCCGGGGGGGGGGGTCCCTGAATAAAATATGGTGTTAAAAAAGAAATCTCATGAATTCATATTACCTCAACTTGGATTTCAGTATGAATATAGGTTATCTTTTTTAAGTTTATGCAATAGAAAAGGGGTTTAATTTCACAAAATAAGTACGTGTTAGAGGCATTTTTGAAAAGCCATACTTCAGCATGGGTACCAGGTTCGACTTGGAGTAATCCCCCCCCCCTCCCTGGGATTAGCAGCAGGCGCTAGAGATAAAAAAAAAATCCCAAAGAACGTGTGCCATGTTGTAAAACCATATGTTGCATCATGTGCACATCTTATTACATATATTGCGCCGGTCACTACTGTATGTGACTTTTATCTTTGATTTATTCGTGAAAATATTACGTCAATAACAATATATAACTTATTACCCTAAACATTCCCGTGATGGTGAATATTTGTTGGTTGGCGTCCCATACGGACTGCTGAGAATGATTACTCATCTGTGGAATAAGAAAACATATCGGTTAACAGCAAAAAAACTCAAATCTATATTGTGGCGCTAAACTGTAATAGATAGGTGAAAGCAGTATCGTTGAAACCATCATGATGAACTTTGTTTTTGGAATCGGTCATGACGCCGTGAATGGCGTCCCGTTAATCCTTGTACGTCATGACATCGTTGCTAGAGGGCGCAATTATAAACAGGAGCGAGGATGTTTTAGCCTGTAGATATGAGTGACTGCGCTTTCGTAGACTACACGGATTATAAACATGCATTACGTCACAGTATACCGTGATTGATAGTTGTAGTGCGTGATAAAGTTTCTACAATGTAGGAATTATTAAATTTATCATGAAACTTACATGACGTCTCAGACAACTGTCGACGACGATCATACATTGCTGTCACGAATAAGTTGTGTTAAATCTAACATGAATAGTAAAACTGATGAAGGCATACTCCGTCCCCCCCCCCATCCCCCTCTCTCCTATCCCTTTCGCACTTAACAGTAAGTTGGTCAAATTTTCACGAAGCAATCCAGCCACAGTGAGTAGCTCAGGGATATTTTCAAGACATACAGTGAACATTGTTTATTTAATGGTATCATAGTAAGCAAACTATCGGTCATTTATACAATTTGAAATTTGATAGCCTTATATAAGAGAACACATGTGTAAGGAAAGTATTTAGATTTTTTACAATCATTGAATACCCATTACATCACTTCTGACCCCTAAATCATCAAAATATTCGCGAAGAAAATAGAAATGCAATATCCATTTCAGTGCAGTGTTTGCTCAATCCACTACAGTGAATAGTTCTCACTCCATCCACAGTGACGAGTGTTCACTCGATCAACAGTAACGAGTGTTCACTCCATTCACAGTAACGAGTGTTCAATTCTTCCAGAGTAACGAGTGTCCGCCCAATACATCAATACATTACAGTAACGAGTGTCCACTCCATCCACAAAAATGAGTGTTCAACTCTTCCAGACTTACGAGTTCCGCTCCATTCACAGTAACGATTGTTTACGTAACCATATTAACGATAGTTCACGTATCCAAAGTAACGAGTGTTTGCTCAATACACAATATTACCGAGAGTTCAGTCTCTTCAAAGTAACGAGTGTTCAATCCATCCACAGTAACGAGGGGTTCGCTCAATGGATTACAGTAACGAGTGCTCATCCCATCTACAGTAACGAATGTTATTCCATCTATAGTAACGAGTGTTCGCTCCATCCAAAGTAACGAGGGGTTCGCTCAATGCATTACAGTAACGAGTGCTCATTAGTAACGAGTGTTCACTCCATTCAAAGTAACGAGTGTTCACTTCATCTACATAAACGAGTGTTCATTTCATCCACAGTAACGAGTGTTCACTCCATTTACATAAACGAGTGTTCATTTCATCCACAGTAACGAGTGTTCATTTCATCCACAGTAACGAGTATTCGCTCAATACATTACACTAACAAGTGTAACGATGACATTAACGAGATATCCCTCGATACAATTTAATATTGAGTGTTCTATCCAACCATGTCCAACTCTGCTTTAGCCGTTCAAGGCTTTGTCGGTATATTGGTGGATTACGAGAAAGTCCTCTTCTTAACAAGAAAAAAAGGAGATAACAAATCCGTTGAGACTAGCGGTTATGATCGACAGTGAAGTCAGAAGCTAATCGCATCTGACGTAAACACGGCGCACTGGTAGAATAGACAATGTGTTAACTGAGCAAAATGGTGACGCAAACTCGACAATTGACAGCGCGTCCGAGATAAAAATATCGCAAAGTATAAAACAAATACATCAGCTAAAACCATCATGATTGCTTCACTTTAAGAATTGCAGTTTTCACATTGATCAACTCATATATTTAAGCGGATTGTTTTCATTTCAATGTATCCCAAGTTGACAGTATAACTAGTACTTGTAGATTGCATTACTTTATTACGACCTCACGCTTTATAATAACAACTGTTACGGCACACGGCACAGGTGGATTTTACTGCGATCTATTTAACAGTTGACATCACGAAAACTGGTAGGTCAACATGTGGGTGATTATTTTGCGAAATATCGTAATAACATAAACGTGATGGGAATAGACTCAGAGCGACGACACATCAGTAAGTCTTAGCACTCGACTCCGTCTATTACCGGCAAACACAAGTGGGTAACAATATAATATGTGGTTGAGGGAATGAGACCAGACTTATGTACGTGGAGATTAAATCATGTTAATTTTAATTGCAAACCGCCGGTAATTTTCATATCATACTGCTACTAAATGTCGTTGGTACATGGCACGCCTCCGCGATGCAACTGGGCATTATGATACTAATCCCTGTCTGCGCGCTATTCTGAAAGTTAAATTATTGCGTTTTTAATACAACATACCCTTCTGGACATCAAAAAACGGAATTAAGATCTGATAATTAAATATGTCTTGCAGTTATGTGATATAAGCTGGGCACAATCTTATACATAAGTATACATATATAATTACCCTTGAATTAAGACTAGTTTGACTTCCCCCTAGGCCCTTCTTCCGTCCACCTCTGCTGAAAGTAATCTCTTCCCATCGTATCTTCCACGTCATATCCGCCAATTCTGCCTCCAATCTGTATTTCCTGTGTAGTGACGCAACACGGGAAAAGTTAAAAGAAGGTAAAATAGCTTTCCATTTCATTCCAAGCACACGCGCACGGCTTTTATATGCACACGACACTCGCGATACCTTCGTACTTTTTCAAATTAAGCAAAATATTCACCGCAAATAGTCTAAACATTTTGAATACATATATCATATAACTTCGTTGCAATATACGCGGCCTATACACAAACAGTACAGGTAAAAAGTACAATAATTAATTAAATATATTAATTAAATATTCTGTACAAATTACTTTAATTAAAAGATGTTAGAATTGCAAAAAGAGTGGCGGTTATTGGTTTGTTTTTTATTTATTTACTCTTGGCACAAAAAGTGGATTGGTCACGTGTTTGTACTTACCTGTATAGCAAAAAAGATACCACAGCGAATACAGCTATGACGCTGGCAAATGCGATTGCAAGAATGACTGCCATGGACAATGGTTCTGAAGCAGATAATGTACATGAATTTGTTAAATATAAGTGTTCACATTCAACGTACATTTTTAGAAACAAAATTGCTTGTTCGTCAGGAATTGGAAGCACTACTGAATCAACCGGCGCAACACATGTTTACGTCAGAATCAATCGGCGTCATAAGACCCAGTCGTGTCTTGTAGAACTACCGGGTGCGGTATCGAAGAAACACTACCTACTAAATTTGAAGGCTGTCCCATTATCTTTCTTATCGAATGACACATTGACCCGCTTTCTGGTGTCACCCACATCCGATCAAAATCATTCACGCAAGGTACTCTCGTAGTACTTTTTTGTGAATGGATTTGTGACACAGCCGCCAAGAGCTTTTTTATTTCTACGCTGCCGGTTTGCGTTCAACTTACGTGTTCGCTTTCCCGCGGCTTTTGTAATTACATATTATCAGTTGTGTCGTTTACGTCTCCTACTTTTCTTCTGAAACTCAACAATCTCATTTAAGCCGCCGTCGTATTCGATCTCTGACAATTGTAAATTTTGAAATATATTCCAAACACGCGCATTATGTACCGTGGGCACATACGCAGATGAAATTCAATGTGCCTAAACGACAGGAAATTATCACGTAGTTCATTGTCAGCATGCGTAATGGTGCACGTGGCCGATGGCGACGTGTGCGTGACAGGCCTAGTTTCCTGTGGTTGCTGCGTAACTCTAAACAGCAATCATCTCTTCATAATCCCAAAAGGATGGTTGGCTTTATACAATGAGAGGAAATGGAAAGTGATGAGAGATCACATGGTTGCCAGGAAACAGAGTGTGTTCCGGCGCCAGTGACATCGTCAGTTGTACGGAGTCGTCTATGTTGCCGAGGTGAGCAACTTGTCTCACGGTTACGTATGCTTGATTTTTTACCACAAAATCGAAATAAAATAAATATTAATTTGATTTGTTCATCGTAGCGCTATATTTCGGTTAATATAGTGTGGCAACACGGACACAGTGTTTTCCGCACTTGACGTCACTCGGGTGAATGTTATGAGAATTCTGCCACGGCCCACCACACCAATATTTCCATGTTATTACCCTGAGCCGTGAACGGTTTTTTAGCACCCCCGCCGTGTCTCTGCTATCTGCGCTGTGATCTTCAGGAAGAGGAATGTATCATGTGAACACAACACAGACGGCAGATATGCATTTCGTCTTCCATACGATGATAAGAACAGACGCGAGGCCAGGACTGTGAGTTTATAATTACATTTATTTTCAAAATTACGGTTTGCAAGATATGTGCGCTGATATTTTAAATATTATATCTGAATACAACCATTTTCCGAGCAAATAATCAACGCGACTTTTAAAACTATACACATCTACAGTGAGACCCAGTCGGGTCCAATCAATACTGCCAATAGCAACGTGGTATATTCGGCCTTGTTTTTTTTTTTCCAGACATTTATTCCTATGGTTATAAATGTTCACAATTGAGTTTTAAGAGTAATTAAACCACCATTTTAAACTTGTTTGTTAAATCCCCCAGTCTGCGTTAAGATTTTCGCCTATGAAAAGGGTAGTAGAGAAATTCCCAAGTACATTTACCTCCGACAAAGGACACAATCAGCGGCAGTGCAAGCGTCTGGAAATATTGTCGAAAAAAAAACAGTATGTAACTATATAACTTCTGCAAATGTGTCGTCGTGTCTGAAAACACCAAAAAATATGCTATATAGAATTGATTACGATATTTTTACAATGTTTATTTATTTTCATTGGAATAATCCAAGATATGTGTTTCGTCTGTCGTGTCCATCAATCTACCCGGGTCGAGCGAACAATATATTGCAATTAACAACTTGAGTAGCAATGAAAGAAAAGATATCAAATTCTTCTCAAGTTTCTCGAAATTTGGTTTAGTTCCATGTTGCCACAACATTCTACCAAGAATTTCAAAAGAAAATGTAAATAGCGAAACGATGAAATACACGACACAGACCAGCATTATGTTCCGTTTTAACTTAGTTCTCCGTTATACCACTAGAGGGCGCATTTAGTTGTACTTATGACGTATTTTCTTCCCAGTATCGCGTAACGCCCAAGGCATAGTATGTCAAGTAAGTCACATACCCTAAGGCAAATATTAATGCTGGCTACTGATATAACTGATGCAGAGAGCTACGGAAGCCGAACAGAGTTGGGGATTATAGGTGCGATTACATTCGTTCAACTTATGTCGAATGGTGGGGAATGCACCATGCTCAAAGCAGTAGACAAAGCCATCAATTGCGTTTAAAGGGCGCTGATCGTCGCGCAGCGCGTGTTCGAATCTCAAGTAAACAAAAAATGTCTTTTACACGCGTTGTGTACGTCGCTATGAGTCCCATATCGAACAGAACGCGTCGCTACGACCGCTGCCCTTTAAGTGGCTCTCTGACGATATGAAAAAAGGATAGGTTCACGCCTGTGTGTATACACATCTGCGAAGTGCTCTAAACCATGACAGAACTAGCCCTTATTTGTGTGCAATAATGTATTCAGTCTAATTTTATTTATCAGCTTTTTCAGTAGCATTTCGTCAAGATTAATATTTTTGATTATATTATTTAGTCTGGATTTAATGGATTGAATATGCATATTACCCATCATACTTTCATCCCTGCCAGCGGGCTCAGAGCCCATTTACAGTCTTCGGAAATGATGAATACGGCCCAACGGTCTCTTTTACGTGGAGATGTTAATTGAAATTAACAAACAGACAAACACAAATTTGCATCCGTCGTAGTAGAGGAACGCATACAATCACCTTCCATGCCTGCACGGTACGACATACGCATAGCCTCGCTCAGATAACTATTACCGTTGTCCGAGTTTTTAGTGAAGTCCGAGGTATAGCCTAACCACGCTCGATTCATTCATTGAGAGCAATGTCTATTACAGTTGCATTTCTTCGTAATATATGCAGAACACCTCCCACAAATTGTATGTTCACCATGTAAAATGATGAGAGTAATTCGTATGGCCGCCCACCTGGAAAAAGTATTCAAGCACTGAAGGTAGCCAGCACTGAAGTTGGTGTTGTTTAATCATTATTGTTGCAATCACTCGAAACCATTTGTATGTATTTTTTGATGGTATTCTAAATTGCAGCTTAGGATTATTTGTACAAGATTTCTCAGAAACCGTTCAAAATCTAAAGTTCTTATGATGCTTACAGGGTTCACAGAGAGGTGTTCTACAGAGTATACAAAGTGAGAATGAACTATTATTAAACTAGACTACATTGTATGTTCACTTACCCTTTTCAACGCACAGCTCCCCTTCAAAACCGCACACAGGTACATCGCTCGGTCGCTCCGAACCAGGCCAGTCGATTTTAATTCCGGCAACTTCTTCATACTCCTTTTTGATCCCGTAATAATTTGCAATAACCTGTCAGATAATACATACGAGATGACCATTATTTACCAATTTATAGCTGTCACCATGTTCGTAAATGTAGGGTAATGATGGAGCTATATTGCGTTCTGTTTGATGATGAAATTGATGCAGTTTTATTAATACGCCGCGTGCAAATGAATGGATATTATATTTCCCGCAGAGCTCGCACGACTTATCAAGTAAAGTCTTGTCGGTTTTATGTGATTGCCTCTCCCATTATTTTAGAACAAGTACTTTACTAACTTCCGCGTAACAAGTATACGTCAGTTTATATATACATGTATAAGTTACGACGGGTTGTAAAATCACTAACGTCTGTATTGACATTTTTAATGATTTGTAAGAACAAGGGTTCATCACATTGACGTGTCTCAGCTTGGTTTACCATTCTAATTACCTCATTTCCCGATCTGATACTATATAGATAGTTTAAGAGTGGAGACGTGTACAGAGGATTGAGTTATATCATAGGTGTATCTCTCAATCATGATGCAATGTGGAAACTAGCGACAAGGTTGCATTTTCATCGTGTTGAGTACAATAAATGGTATGTTTTTTTCTTGTAAAATTTGGCAGGTCTGCTACACTCCGTTATTATATTGCGTCTAATAATGTACCGAGAAAACTGTCTTGTTACAACCGAGGACAGAATGCGGTGGCAGTTTCTAGTACGCGTTAATTCGGGGCGCTTGTCATTCGCGCGCGCCAAATGCTGCGACTATGCAGCGCGTGAAATTAGAAAGCGTCACATGCAATTCACATTCTATTTTGTCAGCGGCTGTATAACTATGATATATGATGTGATCCCCACTCACGGTCTACCATCATTTTCATTTACTCATATTAGGATATCAACATTATTTGTCAAACCACGATTCTGGAAAATTGACTAACTGCACTTGGAGACCGCGTGATTGATCATCAGAGTATTACTCATACGTACATGCAGCATCAACACACGCAGTATTACCACGTATTACCATGTAGTCTATTAGCGCGTCGAATACATCAGTACTCCCATCGTAGACGTGTATATGAAAATATGATCATTATTGATCTCTAAATCAAACGCCTGATCGAACTCAATATTTGTTGTCCTGATTGTCAACTACCCCAAAATACATGAGAAAAAAAACCACCGTTGTATATATTGTGTTTACGTATAAAACGTTATAGTTTTCGAATTAGAAAAACAAAAATTAGTACGGATAAACTCAAGTACATATATATTGACTGTGTGTATGCAGATGACGTTATCGCGACAAATCTGTACAATTTGAACCGAATATAAAAAAAACTGTTACAGCTTAACTGTTGTAAGTTTCTTATTGGTATTCGTTTCACATACATGCATGCTAACTATAGCCAGACGGATTTCAGGAAACTAGTAAAAACCCTCGAGACGTTGTTATTCTTGTGAACAAACCCATCACTAATTGCTACATCGGACGAAGCGGCTATGCGTGTCGTGTTGATTCTGCGGGATATTTACATTTCAACGCAATACGGACACAAGTACCGTGATATATTTTCAATATCTTCACTTGGTATTGCATGCTGATGAATAAATTGGATCATAACTTATAATAAATTGATAATATTGCTTTTTCAGCGAGCGCACGCAATAGTATTCCGTCGATGAAAAACGAAAAAAAAAAACGATAAACTGCGAGACGGAGCAAGCGCAGTGATTCTTTGTAACAGTGGGTGTACATGCGTATTAGCAAATTACATATGATTGTTTCATCGAACGTAGTTGCGTGCTTCAAAAACGACGTGTTTAGTTAAGATCCCAATATGCTCATCAATATACCGCATCGGACAAATTTACAAAAAAATCAATTAAGATTTGCACAAAATCCGAAATCTCAGTATTGTAAAACGCTTGAGCGCGCCTCCATTAAAATTGAAATAAATCCAAATCGATTCATGACGTCATAGTTCTAATATTTGTATCCAATTGAATATATTTTCTGAAACGAAACTAATTTAAGACAGCGTCGTTTGAAAGACAATATAATAGCTCGATATCATTTCAACACAAATTTAATATCAGTCATTCATCATATTTCATATAGTTTTACGCTGTTATACAGCGGTTGTGCTCACGCATTTCATTGTGATCCACCCCATTAGGAACACGTGGGTTCAAAAGTCAGTAAAATGATCCATAGCTGAAATAGAAATCGGAGATTTGTAGATTTTATTAAAGACAAGAAAAAAAACTAATAAATTAAAATAATGGGAAGTATTATGAGTTGATGATCTCTGTATTGGTGAGATACAGCTTTTTTTTTTTTAGGATTGTATAATCATTGAGCGAAAACGACTAAACAAATCGCCGATAGATATTGAACATTTTGATGACTCGCGGTAACTACAGACGGACTATCATAATCCGTTTCCGATAGCGTGTTTGGTCGTAGTTTAAAAAAGACAGATAACGGAAAACCAAGGCGAAAGCGTCCAGCCTATTTCGTCACGAAGATTTTATCAAAACACTGTTTTGTTGAAAGTTCATTTTGTCGAATAGCCATTTTGTTGAATAAATATCATACTGCTGTAATCGCCTTTCAGATGGTTGTTATGGTAACATGCTTAGTATCTGTTAGAGAATGTATGAATCACATATCAATTTTTAACCCGCGCCCACTGTTGCTACGTACTTCAAAAACACATGAAGTCGTGTTTTAGTTAAGGAAAAAGATTCACATCATGTGTACAGTCTGAAAATATATTAATTTCAGGAAAAAGATGTTGTTTATGTTTTTGCTATTATGTATTAACATCTTTCCGCAAATGAAAAGAATTTCCGCGCTACCATGTTTACTCAGCAATTTGCAGAAACGCGTAGAAGAAAAACCTGTGAAAAATGTTACTAAATGTATGCAATTACTGTGCTCTGATTCGTTCAAATCGCAGCGCAACTTTCATTTTTCCACTGACAGCTTCCTTGTGTGTATTTATTTTAAAACGTAATGGTAATACATAAAAGGCGCCGAATTACTACAGGGTAATGTCAACGAACTACAATCCATATTCTTACTCAATGGACCCAAATTGTAGTACAACTGGAAATTGCTGAGAAAACCGTACGAATGCTGTTGGGCTCTGTAAACCAAACAAGCATGTACAGCGGGGTGCGTAGTAAAATTGCATAATGATTGGTATAGACCGGGTACTTTTACCTCGCAGGTGTGATTATGTGTTAGATGGTTGCATTTTAAGAGCAATCTAAATTATATTAATGGAAAAAGGCGATGAATGGAAAGCTGTACATTAGGCAATAATGCAAGAGCCGATATAAAAAATTACCACTCTAACACATTCAGTCTGATCAGTTGCGAATTGCAATGTTCGTATCACCGGTGACGTCACACACATACATATATATATATATATATTGAGCACGACCTTTAGGCTAAGCTAAATCTGTTATCTTTATTCCGTGTTAGCGAGGCGCGTCCCCGAAGAATACATTTATATTTTGTATTAGATGTTTCCTCAATTTAATCTCAAAGCGGTAATGCATATGCATGTTTAAGTCCGTTTCAGTGCCAACGCAGGGAAAGAAAAACGCAATACAATCCAACTGTGTTTAATGTACAAACAAAAACATCGCATGAAATAAACATTTATAGATACACCCTAGACGTCTAAATGGATAATGTGCATAACTTGTAAACCATTATAATGCATAGTCAGCAAAAACGATCCTCCTTGCACTAAATGGAAAATCCTTCTCAATCCTTCTCAACTGCGCACTTCACGGCGAAGGAGAATTAAAACGTGTATTGTTTCAATGTAATGCATCGAGTTAGATGTACTTCTTAGAGAGGATCAGAGTATTTTTCCATCTCTAATAATCTCACATTGCCACGAGGCGTCCCTAATATAAGTAATTGTACAATTTGTCAAAGAGCAAAAACGTGTAAAAAATATGAATTCAGTCAAGGGAGTGATAAGTTGCACGCTGATATCTGGGGAGGAACATAACCGGACGTAATTGTCTACTTTTCACTAAGGCTCAGTGCGCCATGCCACACTCATCAGTACATAACGTTTACTGTTGTCTATAATATGTAGTAGATATCGGTTACATCATGTCACATTCAACGGGAAATGCACATAACTTTTACCATCGTTCCCATTGTCATTGAAGTAGACCGTGTCTATTTCGGTGATTATTTCTTTATCTCTAATTTCATCGATAGGCAATCTGACAATTTGTTAAAAGGCAAAAACTTGTAATGTAGTTCAAGTAGAGAGTGACAGGTGATTAGGCACAACTCAACACGTTCATCGTTTCAAGCGACAGTGGCGAGAGACACAAGCATCGGTAGGCACATCTATGTCGTTATGTAGGTATAATTCATATGTCCGTTCTCTATTGAGCATTCCGTAACCATTAGCGTAAAGTAACCATTATGGGAAATTTGATTAAGAGCGAATACGTTATGAAATTATATTATTAAATAATTCACGTGTCTGTGTCGCGTTGAATGTAACGGTACACGGTAAATGTGACATAGTTTTGTTAATTAGAAAACAACGGTTAGTAAGTTGCAGTGCAGTGCACCAATCAGTATTGCCTTTATCTGGTGCACGG